TTTTATTTTATTATAATAGTTTATTTTTATATCGTTTTGTGCCTTTTTCCATCTCAGTTGTAATCCCCGTAGACTTTTCCATCACAGGTTCACCTGTGTGCCATCGCCATAGTCCTGTGCACTACACCTCATTATTTTTTTAAAGATTTATTTATGCTTACAGAACTGGGGTACAGAGGTGCAGGGGTGGTGAGAGGCTTCACCAGAGTCAGAGCGGGGAGCAGAACAGGCAGATGGACGAAGCACACTACTGAGGGGTGCAGCGGGCGGTTCAGAAGAGGTCTGCTGCGCGGGGTCACCTCCGGGGCAGGGAGCAAACTCGTGCTGAAGTGGCCTTAGCTTCTCAGTCAGCGCTGTGTGTGTTGCGCCAGCGGGAGGGCCCAGATTGCGCATTTTTAACTAGACAGCTGGATGGTTGTCATGAACCATGTCGGGACCAGCTTCCTCCTGACGTGCCCTTAGCTTCGCTTTGTCAGAGTCTGCCCTCGTTGCCATTTGCCTGATGTCATGGACGTTGCTGCTCCAGATATTCATGGAAATAGATAAGAGTTTGAAAATCAAGTGATCGTGGCTGCTTAGAGGAGAAAGTGTAAGTCATAAAGTCCACTTGGCATTTGGAGTGAGTGATCATGAAATGGGCACTTAAATATTTTAATCAACTCTAATTGCGCCTTAACATGCGTCATCAATATGTTTTTAATGACCAGCCAGCTCATAAGACTATCTGCTCTGACCACATTCCTGTAAGTCCAGAAGGACAACTTTGAGCTCCGTCATTAGCCCCTGGATGGCGGCGCCTTGGCAGCCCTCGCTGCTGGCTGGCTCGCTGGGTATCTGACTGCAGAATTTTATTTTTTGAAGATTTATTTATGCATATGAGAACTGGGGTGCAGGCCAGAGGGGGGGAAGGTGAGAGATTTCAGAGACAGAGCGGGGAGCAGAACAGGCCGACTGAGTACACCGCTGAGGGGAGCCGCGGGCGGGTCAGGAGAGGTCTGCCGGGCCACGTGGGTCACCTCCGGGGCCGGGGATCGAACTGGCACTGAAGTGGCTGCGGCTGGCTTCATAGTGCTGCCTCCTAACCCGTGGCGCCACCAGGGAGGGTCCCCTAGTGTGATTTTAAGGGTCAAGGTGATAGGGCACGTTCTGCATAGCTGAGTGGTGAGAACAAACGTACTTGGAGACATTTTCACTCAGGCTCTTTTAAGTGTTGTGGGGATTTTTAATATCTTGAGAACACCAGAACACGAGAGCCCTTTCCTTTTGTAAAACAAATATTTGTCATTGTTTGTTGACACCGCGCCTGTCTTTACCGGATAGCTCCATACGCTGAGGGCAGAACGCCACGCCGAGGGCACTGGCCGAAGCGAAGCTGTGACCACAGGCATGGACGTCACCTCGCTAGGGGGCCCGGCCCTGGAGTGGGCGAATCACAAGCTGCATTTTAAAGCCCTTCCTGGACTGCGACATGCAGGTTAAACTTGACAACTTGTTTAGCCCAGTCTCTCCTTCTACAGGGACACGCAGAAAGCCCAGGTCTCCTGTCCTGATGGCACGGAAAACAGGGAACAGAGCTGAAGCAAAGACTCTGCTTTTAATGATCCAGACTTCTTGCCACTGTATTTCCTAGGCTTTGGGAAGAAAAACAAGTCAGAAAGGAAATCTCTTGGCATGAAAAGCAACTTTCTACTTCAAGTCGTGTCCTCTATTCCAAGGGCTGTCTGCAAATGTCCATCTACACTCTGTCCAGCTGAGTTTACACATATGCCCAGCTTTGTGCAAAGGAAATCACCCTTGGGTCTGGCAACTCTCAGACCAAAGGTGGCAAAAGCCCTGACAGCTGTGCTCCGATCACGCCTTTCCTCTTGCTGTCCAGCCAAAGCCAAGCTTAGGTCACCACCACTTTGCCTGGGGACTGATTTGCAGAAGGAACAGGGCTGGGGTCCTGGCCACTGTTCTGTTCCAACTTCTGTGACCGGCGGGCAAGGAAGAAAGATGGGAGGCAGAAAGGCCGAGCAGAGTTTACTGCTCCGGGCAGCAGCTGAGACGGAGCCCCTGGGTGGCTTACAAAGATTCTTACATAGATTCAAGGGTCACATTCCAAAGGGGGGACTCGCCCCTGTGTCCCTTGACGTGAGGCCCAGTTCGCAATCAATCACCTTCCTCTAGTCCCATCCCAGATGCAAGGTCAGGCCATTACCACCTTATCAAGCTTGGATGCCAGGCTCAATTCACTACCGCCCTAACTCAGCCCTGTCAGCAAATCTTTGGTCACTCTCAACAGTCGCCCAGCACCCTGAGCTGCTCGCCCCACAGCCTCTGCAAGGTGAGCTTTGTGGTTGGAGAAGGCCTGCTTCTTGCTTTGCTCCTGTCCTGGGGGCCCGAGAGGCTCCGCACCCTTATTAGAAAATTTCCCATTTAATTAGCTTTGCAACAGACTCCTCGTTCTTCACACAAGTGTTTGCAGTCTCAGCTGCCTCATGTAATATTTGTGCAGTATTGTGAGATTTAAACAGATGTGAAGCCCCTGAGGTGTATAGGACCTCACAAAATGGTCATTCTTGGAGTTTGGGTTGTTTTTTTTTTCTTTATTATGCTGCAAACATTTTAGTGATGATTGTTGAGCAAACATTTGGAAATTTTTTGCCCAGTGGCAACAAGTTGAATAAACACTTACTTACCTATAAAGAAACAAAGCAGAAACAACTCCATGTGACTTTTTAACACTGAACCAGTTTCTAAGGTGGCCTTTTCTCCACCTCATTAAAAGGGAGATGAGGGAGGTGACTTCTGATCTGCATTTCCAGCCCTGCCAAGCTCAGGCCCACTGACCCAATGACTCAGCGAAGGACTTGGTGGAGAAACCCTGAGGCCATGCCGAGGCCCAAAGACCTCCAGCCAGCTCTGCGTGCCCTGGGGTCTGTCTCGGAACACCCACTTGCTCCTCCTGCATTTCTTCACACCACACCACACCACACCACACCACACCACACCACACCACACCACACCGCAAACAGTCCTCCGGTCAGGGCTACTCTGGGCAGCCACTCCGGTCACATCTTGCCGGCTCAGCCAGGCCCAGCCCCTCCTGCAGTCTGACTGCAAAGACCCTCTTTGCCCTCATTTCTCACGAAACCCAAATTCCTTGGTGACAGGTGTGACGGGCCTCCCTGCGCTGGCCCTGGCCCCTAGCCTTGTCTTCGCCGCCTCCCGTGCCTCACCGCCTCCCAACTCCTTTAAAACAAACGGTGACCGTGAGCTCATCTGTGCTGACCCGGGCCTCTGATTGCTTAAGTAGGTTCCTTACATCACTGTCCTCTCTGCACAGTAGCTGACCTGCCCGCAGGCGTGTTCCCCATAAGCCTCCTACCGCCACAGCCCCGTGACCCCTCGCCAGGGCCCTGTGCTCTTCCCACCCTGTCTTGACCCGACCCTCCTGTTTTCTGGCTGCATGGCTCAGATCTACGGTGAGCTTGAGAGTTCGCCTTTTCTCTGGCCTTGTTCGGTGTCTCTGCTCCACATTAAGAGAAACCACCTGTCATTATCTTTTTCTTTCTGACTTACTTAGCTTAGCATAATCCCTTCCATTTCATCCAGCGATGACATGTCTAGGAATCTACCCGAAGGACACAAAAACACGAATTCGAAAGGAAACCTGCAGCCCAATGTTTACTGCAGGACTAGTCCCAGCAGTGAAGATATGAAAGCAACCCACATGCCCCAAGGTGGGTAAGCGGGTCAAGAAGATGTGGTGTATTCACACACTGGAATACGACGCAACGATCAAAAAGAAAGTCACACCGTTTCCAGCAAGGAGCAGGACCAGCTCACTCTGAACTCCCGTCACGCTAAGATGCTTCTGTCCAGGATCCTTTTTCCTCCTGGGTTTCTCATGTTATAGATGTATGTAAGAAGAGGCTTTAGCGCCTTAAAGTCGTCTTCCTCATTCTCACTTGGTCTGTTCCTCCTAGTCTAACTCAGAGAGCCGTGCTCGCAGTTTGGCCACTGGGATCCTGGGAGAACGTGGTGGCCCAGTCCACACACCTGCGCCCATTTCCTATCACAAGGTGCAGAAGCATCTTCCTTCACGGCTTCGAGTAGTCTACCCACTAAGCAGAGTGCTTTTCCTCACTGACCTCTTGGAGACCCCGTGGGTGCTGCACCTCTCCAGGCCACTTGCTTCCTCCGTGTCCTCTGTGCCAGGTTCCCCTCCCCGCTCTCACGAGCCTGGACCCCGGGGCTGAGCGGGGCTGAGTCACCTCCTCCAGGTCACGCTGTCCGAAGGGCAAAGGCGGGCTCTGTCAGCTGGAAGGCCGCACGCCTCCCTCTCCCACAGACCTGCAGGCACTGGGGTGCACCGGGGCGGGCTGGGGTCCGCTTGGGAGAGGAGCCCCGCGAGGTGACCCTGACCCACTCCTCGCCGGCGTTGACAGCTCACAGGCCTTGCCCGTCTCACACTTTAAATACCAGCGTCGGCTGTGGGGCACTTCGGGCTCGCGGAAGTGTGCCGTTCCAGGACTCTTCTCAGTGGGGCGGTGAGCGCGTCGGGTCCTGCTGGCTTTCATCTCCAGGTGCATTTTAATGTGTCAGCCTGTTTCTTCTAGATCTCGGCTGTTTCAACACTCGGCCCTGTCTCCTCATCACGGTGTTATCATTCCATATTTACTAGGTGACCTCACGCATGCAATAAGGTGTGAGGTGTTTACCAAGCTGCCGCCCTGCCCTGCCGCTCACTGAGCAGCTTCTGTTACAGGGTCAGGAAACGAGCGCGGTTTCTTCCTCGCAGGCTCGCTGCTCCATGTGGCTTCCTCAGGGCTCCTTCTTGTTCTCCATCCAGCTTCATTCTCCTCTCTCTTCTCATTCCTTCTCTTCTCTCCTTTCTCTCTGCTCAGCTCCACCCGCCTTCTGGGTGGGGCAGGGAACTTGGAACTTCCCCTTTTCCTAGGGACCCCCCCTATTATACTTGCACTCTCCCCACAGGGGTGGCAGGAAAGGCATGGGCTGCCAGGATGCTGCTGTGGCCATCGGTCCCACTGTCCTTGGAGAGTGGCCTCTTGCAAGAGGGAGCAAGTGCCCCAGGGCCAGAGGGGGACGGGGAAGAGGTGAGGGACAGAGAGTTGCCACACCTCCCAGCCCCATCTGCAGGGTTTGAGCCTTTGTCCAGACTGGAGCTGCAGGCCCTCGCTGAGGGCTGGGGTGGCCCCAGGGGCTCGCTGCCCGCAGCCAGGCCGAGCGGGAGCCGTTGTTGGAGGAGGCTTGCAGCTGGGCAAGGCAGCAAGGCCTGGGCCTTGGCCAGAGTCTGCAGGCAGGCGGGCGGGCCCCTGCTGTCCCTTCCTGACATGGCGGCACTCGAGGCCCGTGCCGTGGCCGGCGCCTCCACGCCTGGCCCGAAGCGCGTCACTGCTGTGCCTCTTCTCCGTGGTCTTGACGACGCTGCCACCAGACATGATTCCTGGGCCTGCCCTGGAAGAAGAGCCTGGGAAGTTTCTCCGGGGCTCCTCAGCAGGCAGGCCGGGA